CCCCCCCCCCCCCAATTATCCATAAGGTTCCTGCCAATTTTACCCAAATTATCCATAAACAACCATGCATTTTGAGGAAAGTTAGGGAAAATTGAACAATTTACAAGGAATTTCGACATGGAAACAGCGCAACTTCGCAAATCGCAAGTTTATACCACTGTCACAGAGTTTATACGTTTGGCTGTGCTGCTCTATATTTTGAGAAGAAAGCGACACCGTTCGATTCAGCGTAAGAAATTGTACTTACGGATGTCAAGTGTATTACTAAACACCAATATTCTAGCGATTTATGGCCTTTGAAAATCAAGCGAAATTGTATTGTTGACATATCGGTTCAACATTATTTATTAAACTAATTATAAAAAAATGCAGTACGTTTGATCCTTGATAACTTTGGTATCACTGGTTTTCTCTTTTTCGGCCGTATACCAGTGGATTCGTCTCACTTCTCTCTTCAGTTTGATAGTATTTTGAGTCAAAAATATTTTATTTTGAACGTTTTAAAGCGCAGTTTAATCTTAGCGTACGGACCAACTGGCGGCTGACAGTCTTGAAGAAGGGCAATACTAAATATAACTTTACTTTTAGGGGTAGGGGTAGGGCCTACCGCATTTTAGTACTGTGTTAGGGGCTATTCGCGCTCGTTTTCGACTTTCACGCTTAGCTCGGGGAAAACCTTAAATCTTAATTGAAATAGCTGTGTACTGCATGTATCATGTGTGATCATGTACAGTAATGCGCGTATTTGTATAGCCCCAGCGAGTTAACGATCCATAGAGCGTCTTGTTAATTATAAATCACAGAATACAATAGTGATTTTATCTTTAATTCACAGTTTCATCTACTATAACATTTTTTCACAGGCATACATTGTGCCAACAACCGACGAGGCCATCACACTATCATATTTCACACTAAACCTTTTGAACGAACATTTAGGGACTATTATATTGTGGCATAAATTTATTACTAGGACCGGTACTGTGTAATTTCACTAACTTTAAGATGCTCTTTCTAGCTGTAGTCATGGATTTTGTTCTTCCTGTCTGGATCAAAATTTAGTCGATACCTGGATTCATCAATTTATCCTTAAACGATTTCGCCTCCCGGACAAAACAGATGTCATGAAATTAGACCCGGGAATAAAAATTATGCGACCCGCGAAAAAAAACCGCGAAAAAAACCCGCGACCCGCGAAAAATACCCGCGACCCGCGAAAAATACCCGCGACCCGCGAAAAATAGCCGCGACAATTAGATTATCTCAATGATTAACTTTTTAGTTGTACATTTCCCCCTAAATTTGACAGTTACAAAGTTCTGAAATCGGTCTGTTCGATTGATTGTTAGTCTGACTATTCTTTCAGATCTTAAGGAATAAGTGTGGTCCGACGTAGGAAGCTGCATGTTTGTGAGTAAGAGTATTTCAATTTTCTCTCAAGATTGAAATCGTACACGTATTTCAATCTTCTCTCGTTGTTTAACTTCCTTCCATTTTACTGATATTTAAACATTTGTGCAACATTTTTTAATGGTAAATTTTGAACGGCCATCATACAACCGACTCTTTGGTGCAAAATCGATAAATTAATATTAATTAAATTAATATTAGTTAATATGGTATTGGTATAGTAATATAGCATGGTCCTTGTTTTTGAAGATCAGGAATCTCATTTTCGCTGTGATACTGTGTTAGTGCGCAAAACTTGTCCACAATGTTTTTCAGCTGTCTTGCAAAACGTCTTATAAACTGTCAGGTACAAGTGAATGAAGTAAATGGGCTATTAAAATTTTATATATTATTAGATTTGAGTAGAAAACCCGCTAACTCGATCTCCCTGCTAGGTCGAAGTACTCGAACTATAACAATACAATAGCGAATTTTAATACAAACATATAGATGCAGTACATGTTATAATTGCACGATTGATTCTCAAAATTGAAAAATCAGTTCTCTGATATATATATATATATATATATATATATATATATATATATATATATATATATATATATATATATATATATATAT